GTGACCTTTCATGTACCGAAAATAAACATTAACCAAACTAAAGGCAATTTGTTATGAACCTATCAAATTTGGCTAGAATGTTTTAAGGTTACCACAAATGAAATTAATTTTTTAGGACCAATATTTGATGAACCTAACCTATTGCAATTGGTTTCTAATCTTTTAGGACCAAAATTTAATTTTTTTTTTGGGACCAATGTTTGATAAACCTAACCTATTGCATTTGGTTTCTAGTCTTTAACCAAATTACAAACGCACCTATGTGGTTCAATGGTTTGGGGGTTTTCCATTGCAGATGCCTCAATTGTTGAGATCTTGAGTTGTTAGTGTCAAATATCTTGATTTAGGAGGACAAAGGGATGTTCTTTCTCATTACAATACCTATAATATTATTATGCTTTAAAACAGAAACAAATCCTCAATCCTAATCTTTAACAGAAATTATTATTTCAGTGATAGTTTCACTTCTAATTTAAGTGATAGTTTCACTTCTAAGTATCATGAAAATGATTTTAATTTTTTGATGACTCCTAAACTTCACTTCTCAAATTCAATTGAGGTATAAGGTGGAAAAGCTTGAGTGGTAAAATATCTCCTCTTGATTTTCCATGGATCCCTCAATGATGAGTATTGTTTCATCTGTAAGAGGTGTCGGTAGAAAAGTGTTTTCTGGATTAGAAAGAAGTGCTTCTTTCATGGTATTAGATTCTCTACGTTTGTTTGATGGATTAGGTTGGATGAAATTATTAGTGAGAGGATAGTTAGTGAAGAGATTGTTAATTTGAGGATTATTAGTGAGGGAATCAGGTAAAAGTGTATTTGTTATGATGATAGTGTGAGAAATGATTAGTGATATGATTGTTAAATTATTTTTATATAAAATAAATAAAAAATTATTTCTATATTAAAAAAACTAAAGCAACTATTAAAACAAACAGGTGTACTTGATAAAAAAAATGATTTTTTTATATATATATATAAAATAGACTCAATCCCCTCATTATTTTCCTAATCCCATCCAAAATCTAGCCAAGTTAATCCCTCTACTGAGGAGGATTACTAAACCCCTTGAACTATTACTCTTCCCTTTCAAATCATCACCAAACAAGCTATAGGTCAGACCCATAGCCATAGCACTCCAATTCCCCCTCTTACGCCGATAAACAAATATGGCTTGAGGAGTTTTATTGGATTGGCCTTTCGTCTTAACTGTAATCCATGGATACTTAGAGGTATCCTAGAGGTTTTGCAGGTGAGGCGAGTATAAAGAATAGCTGCATCTTGTGCCAAATGTTCATAATAATTGGCAATATAATTTAAACTATAAAGAAATCGTTAGAGTTGAGTTTCATCTTTAATTTCATCTGAAAATTTAAAAGCAAATTCAATACTTCGATATATTGATATAATTGTGTCATTATGAATATTATGGCCAAGAAATCAAACTGTTGTTTGAAAAAGTTTTATTTTTGATGCAGAAATCACCAAACTAATGAAATTTTACTTTAACATCAAACATAGGCTGTGCAAATACATTTATTGTAAAGAATCCTGATCCATTTCATATAGTGAACTCAATTAAACTCAATTAACTTCTCAAATCGCGCCAATATAGTTGACTAAAATAATTATATCTCATTAAGAGATCAGAAATTCAAATTCTATTGATGGCAAGACTCTTTTTTTGTAGAGATTGTGGCCTTTCACATATCGAAAATAAAGATTAACCAAACTAAATGCAATTTGTTATGAACTTATGAAAATAAAGATTCTCCCACTGGCGCTGCCATCACCGTCACAAATCCCTCCACCCACGGGTGCTGCCATCACACAGATCTGTGTCTATACACATAGATCTGTGTATAGATCTCTCTCTCTGTTCCCTCTTTCTTCTTTTCTTTTTCTATCTTCTTCCTTCTTTTTTTCTTTTCTCCTTCTATCTTTTTCCTCCTCTCATTCTTCTGTGTTTTAGAGAGAAAACAGAGGGGGAAGGGAAAGAAAAAAAAAAGTTGCCTTCGACCCATTCAAGCGGCAACATTTTCGAGCTACCACGCATTTTCCTTATTAATGTGACAGGTATGATACGATATCCAAATGTGACAAATATTAATGTGACACTCTAACGATGTGACACTCTAAAAAAATTAAAAAATCATAGTATATTTTTTTCAAATGTGACAACATGGTGGATATAATATGACACTGCAAGATTTTTACTCCAAAAATACTAAAAACTCCTTAGTATATTTTTTTGCCCCCAAATGTGACAATGTGGTGGGTATGATGTGATATCCCAAAAAACACTAAAAATTTCTTAGTGTATTTTTTCCAAATATGACAACGTGGCGGGTATGTCACAAAAACTCCTTAGTGTGTGACAGATATGATGTGACACTCTAAAAAAAATAAAAACTCCTTAGCATACTTTTTCCAAATGTGACAATATGACGGGTATGATGTGACACTCTAAAAAAATAAAAACTCTTTAGTATACTTTTTTTCAAATATAACATGTGACACTCTAATGTGGCGGGTATAATGTGACACTCTTAAAAAAATTAAAAACTCTTTAGTATACTTTTTCCAAATGTGACACTCCAACATGACGGACATGATGTGACACTGAAAAACTCCTTAGTATACTGTTTTCAAATATGACATTCCAATGTAGTGGGCAAATGAGTCATTGGCCCCGTTTGGTAGACCTGTGGGAAAGTGATTACAGATTATAGCTTAACAGATTATAGCTTATAGCTGTGAGTATAAGCTAGTAACTTGTTTAGTGTAACTGTGGGATTATACATTTAAGCAGCAAAGTAGTGTTTGGTTAATAAGCTGTAAAATAACTTTTTACCGTGTAATTGTCCATTTTGCCCTTATATGATATAAAAATGATTATTTTGTCATTTTTTCAGTTTTAATTTTTAAAAAATTATTTCATTAATAAAAGTTAATATAATTAGCATCACTTAATACTAAAATTAATAATACTATCAATTAGTTTAAATTTTTTCATTTTTTCATTACAAATTAATTAGTGTTAATTAATGGCTTAATTACCATCAATTAATACCAAAAATTAATAATAGTATTAATTAGTATAATTTTTTTAATTTTTTCATTACAAATTAATTATGTCAATTAATGGCTTAATTACCATCAATTAATACCAAAAATTAATAATAGTATCAATTAGTATAATTTTTTTAATTTTTTCATTACAAATTAATTATGTCAATTAATGGCTTAATTACCATCAATTAATACCAAAAATTAATAATAGTATCAATTAGTATAATTTTTTTAATTTTTTCATTACAAATTAATTATGTCAATTAATGGCTTAATTACCATCAATTAATACCAAAAATTAATAATAGTATCAATTAGTATAATTTTTTTAATTTTTTCATTACAAATTAATTATGTCAATTAATGGCTTAATTACCATCAATTAATACCAAAAATTAATAATAGTATCAATTAGTATAATTTTTTTAATTTTTTCATTACAAATTAATTATGTCAATTAATGGCTTAATTACCATCTAACTGAAATAAATTTATTTTTAATTATTAATTTTGTTTAATTTATTTAAAAATTTTTTTTCTTCTCTTCCTTCCTGAAACCCTAGCCACCGTCGCTCGTCATGGCAGAGAGGGAGTGCCGGGGATGGGAAATGGTTCGTGAGAAACAGAGAGAGAGAGACGACGGCAGGACGACGGTGATCTGGTTCAAAACGAGATCGCGATGATGGCAGGACGACGGCAGTGACGCAGGGTTTTGCCCTGAGATCGCGAAACCAGATAACCATATCAACCCAGATTAATCCAAATCTTCCAAACCAGATCAACCTAGATTGCGATGACGGCGAGCTTCTAACCCAGACTTTCAGATTTGCCTTCACGACGGCAGATCGCGATCTGAAGGCTGTCGATTTGCCTTCAGATCGCGATCGCGATGCCTCTCTATGGCCGTGATTGTCACTCTCATAGATTTGAATCCGAACACACACACACACACACACACACACAGAGCTAGGGTTTCAGAGAGCTAGGTTGGTCGGAAATCGCCTTCCTTCTGCCGGAAATCGCCTCTCAGAGGCGTGTGAGAGACAGAAATGGGTTGTGTCTGGCTTATATACGTGGCACTGGTAATAAGTCGAAATAGTGAGGGGCATTTAAGTCATTATATAGCTTAAGTATCAGCTGCGCGCATAATCTGATGATTGGAAAAGCACCTCTTTGCCAACTTAACAGATTACACGTGAAATGGCTTAAATTAAGCCATAATTCATCCCCATAATTTTTACCAAACACTCCAATATGACTTATTTTAAGCTATAAGTTGATTTAAGCTGTGAATAAGTTCTATCAAACGGCTACATTACACATCCAAAATGACTAAATGGATTACAAGAAAAAAAACATGGAATTATATGGATTACAAGTCCAAAATATATGGCTTAATGGTTTCTTACAATTTCTAGTAATTTAACATTTGATTTTCACAAAAGATAAAATACAAAAAACATTTAAAAAAATGGTCATGTTTGGCTTTTTGAAAAAATAGAAACTAATTTGATAAAAAATAAATATCAAAAAAATATTTTTAAATTTATAAAAATTATTTCTAGGCTCCCAAAAGATAAAATTAAATAAAAATAAGTGTTTTTTATTTTTTTGTATTTCTTTCATCAAATTAATTTTTAATTTTTTTTTTTATAAAAAAAATCTAAAATAAATTTTTAAAAACCAAACTAAACATGGTCAATCTTTCTTTCTCCTTTGCTTTGCTTTTCTTTTCCTATTGTCCTCTCTTTCTTGAGCACCAAACACAGCCTCCAAGAGGTTTTTTATTGTCCAATGGAGATTGATGTAATGTCTAGGAAATGTGGAGCATGACCACAGAGAATCTAAACTCAATATAAAGTTAAAATCTTGTCTTAGTGGGTGACGTGGAAGGTTGAGTATCCATTATAAATTCAGTGGTTCATTACAACACTTCAAAAACCTTGAAGGTAACATAAGTTCTTCTAAGAAGCATAATTGAGAGAGAAGGGCTTTTTGTCAATGATGGCCACTCCAATAGATTCCTCCATCTCCATTAGCTTCCTCTTCTCTGCTTTTCTTTTCCTTCTTCTCTGTTCCTTAAACAAGGGTTATGCTTCAAGCGATGAAAGTACTTTAAAAAATCACTTTCATACGATTCAAATCAGTTCTCTTTTACCAGCTTCCGTTTGCAGTCCTTCTACCAAAGGTTATATTCATAAACACCTCTCTCCTCTCTCTATATATACTCGTGTATCATATATTATTAACATAACGAATAATATTATCGGATATTAGTTGATATATAACCATATCATTGATACTGTCATTTGAAAGAATTGAGTTTCATTATAGTGGATTGGATTGTTTAGTCCAAAAAATGTGAGAGGGCATGTAAGGTCTCACAGTGTAACTCGCTACTGTGAGACTCATGGTCCCTCTCATAGGTTTTAAACTGGGTAACAAATCAGCAGGAGAGAAGCTGAATTCTATTTAAAGCCATGTGAATTAGTTAAGTTCAATATGGCAAAAACTTTTTTGTTCAATTTTGTTTTGTATCTTTACCACTATTACACCTCTAATCTTTTGAAAGTAACGCGAGCTAGTGTAGCTGTACATGCCCTTTTAGGTGATTTAGTGGGTAGGTTTGGACTTGTGAATACTGACATAAATGATAAAAAGAAAAATTAAAACAATACGAACCAAAAAAAAAAAAATTTCTCTCTTCTGTTTTTTTCTTCTTCTTTTTCCCTCCTTTTCTTCTTAATAACTCTGGACATATTTTAAATTAGAAGTTGATGAAAACAACTCTCCTTTAGTATTCAAATAATTAGTTTTTTGTCCACTTATATAATTCATTTTTTTTCAATCTAACTAATAAAAGAGATAAAAGCACCTTAGAAGTCATAGCACACCTTTATCACTGTATGGCAATAGACTTTCATGAAAAAGTGAAACTAAGAAGTTGCCCTCCTTTTCTTCTTAATAACTCTGGACATATTTTAAATTAGAAGTTGATGAAAACAACTCTCCTTTATGTTGTGTTTGGTTGAGGGATTTGAGGAGGGATTTGGAAAGGGAAATGGAAAAGGTAGGTGAAATATGAATAAAACATACCTAAATTTCACATAGTTTCACACACCTTTTCCCTTTCCCTTTCCAAATCCCTCCCCAAATCCTCCAACCAAACACACCATTAGTATTCAAATAATTAGTTTTTTGTCCACTTATATAATTCATTTTTTTTCAATCTAACTAATAAAAGAGATAAAAGCACCTTAGAAGTCATAGCACACCTTTATCACTGTATGGCAATAGACTTTCATGAAAAAGTGAAACTAAGAAGTTGTTAACACTCGGTTGGTGGAGGTTCATTTCAACAAAGCAAGTGAATCATATATTATGGGTAGAGAAATTGTGACAAATGATGAAGTTTATGTGTGGGTCTCATTATTTTGTTTTATATATGTGTCTTATTTTGTAAAAAAAAAATTATATTCCTAACACAACATACATATGTCCTGCAAGAGTATATTAATGTTACAAAAACAAAATTATATCCATAATTTTTATATAGAATGGTATATAGTTTTATTATTTTGAAAGAAAAAAAACACATCATTTTATGACTCTGTTTTTGTTGCTTTTCTTCTATTCTCACTGCATGAGTATTTCTTTGAATTTACTATTAAAAATAGCAACTAGCACTTGTCTTATACCCAAAGAAACAAAGTTTCATATAATATCTATTTTATAATATGTTTTCCACAATAGAATAAGTCTCATTAAATATTTCTACAGTATTTTTATTTTTATTTTTTTTGACTAGTGTGCTAATCAATACATGACAAGGCTATTTAATTTGAGCTTTAAGAACAAACCAACTGTAATTTACTAAAAATATAAAAGCTTTTGAGTTTTACTTCTTAGTTAAAAGGAGGTTTTTACAATAGATTTTCTTGAAATTTTTTGCTTAATAGCTTTCTTGTTTTTTTTTTTTTCCTTTTTAATGAAAATTAATTACACGGATTCCCTTCAAAAATCACTGAATATCATTTGTCTCCTCTTAATTTTAAAACTATACTTTTAAATCGCTCAACTACAAAAGAGATATATTTGTATTTTTTTTTAATAATGGAGAGATGTCCACATAATTAGCCCAAAGATTTAAGTAAGTTCAATTTGATAAAATGTATTAGTGTTTGTTTGCCTGTCAGTTTCAACCAGAAAGTTATGGAAATAAAAGTTTTGGGAACAAAATTCCCTTATGCCAAAGGCCGACAAAACCCTTCACCATCCATGATGTTGTAGAGCCAACCACTTCTTTTTAGGATATGAAATGATTTAAAAATACAAAAACTAATTACAGAATCAGATATATCTAATTTTGAATAATTTCTGTACAAATAAAGAACAGCTAGAAAATAATGTTCTCGCGTAACACATATATATTTAATGCAGGACGACAGTATTGAGGCCATAAGGTAAACATTGATGTAAACATAGGAATTCATAAGCTTCCTAATGGCTTATATTTTTGTCATCATGTTCAAAGTAGAATACAAACCTTTCATGAATCATGACCTATGCTTTTTTGGTGCTTTTCCACCACCATTGAAGTACCTCTCACCTTACAAATTGGGTAACCACCAATAACCCTTTTTCCCATTTAATTGCACACTATCACTATTTACACACACACACACACACACACACATATATATATGGATTTCATAAGTCATATTATGATACACACTGTTAAAGGCTGTGTTTGGTTGAGAGATTTGAGGAGAAATTTAAAAAAGGAAATGGAAAATGTGTGTGAAATTATGTAAAATGTAGGTATATTTTATTCACATTTCACCTACCTTTTCCATTTCCATTTCTCTTTTCAAATCCCTTCTCAAATCCCTCAACTAAATACAGTAATAAATATAAATTATGATATTTATAGAGTTTCATCTATCCCTCCTTCTGCCAATTCTTAAGAGAGAGAAATTATATTTGAAAACTATTTCCTTTTTCAATTTCTTTCAACTTTATTTTTCCCTGAACTATTTTCACACATTAAACAGACCTTAACTTCAATATTTTATGTTTTTTTTTAAAATAAAATACCTATGCACCTATTTATATTAGGTAAAAGTCATAGACCTCGAAATAAATAATTTAAGAAATTACCTGAAAATAAAATTAGATTCAATATATATATATATATATATTTTCGGTGATTATTTTTCCTGGTCTTTTTCAAACTCTGTATCATTGTCATTTCAGTTGTACGGTGAATAATTGAGTGGACGAATGCATGTATTTTTGCTATAAGGTCAATCATTGGGTGTTTACCTATAAAGTTAGGTTTCTTAAACGTTGGACTTTAAACTTGAGTAAGGATCCTCTAGAGTTTTTTTTTTTCTAAAGTTTTTTAGAGTGATGTGTTGTATGGTTGAGATTTAATGACAAGTCACACCAATTTTTTAGCATTAAATCTCACCCATACAACACGCTCTAGAGGATCCTTGGTATTTAAACCTTCTCTGGTCGGAATACACCCATGCATAACCTGGTCCACACACCAACTCACAGGGTCACTAACCCTACTCAATTATCATACAATTAATATATACCTAATCATAATTGTATACATTTTTAATTTAAACTAAATATTAAATATAACGATAATATTAAAATTTAATGAATTGAGTGTTCTTGCTAGTAAAATAACAAATTCTTATTGTGAGAACATTTGTATCAGATCACAGCAAAGGGGCCTCATTGAAAGTTGTTCACAAGCACGGTCCATGCTCTCACCTTAGTAAAGAGAAAGCCAATGCTGCAACAGTGACTCAGATCCTCACCCGTGACGAATCCCGAGTCAACTCAATCCAGTCTCGACTTAGCTTTAACTTAGTCCAAAAAAACACTCTAAAGAACTCTAAGGCCAGCATCCCAGCAAAGTCCGGCAGCTCAATTGGCAGCGGCAATTACATCGTCACTATCGGACTTGGAACCCCCAAAAAGGACCTCTCCCTCATTTTTGACACCGGTAGCGATTTCACCTGGACTCAATGCGAGCCATGCGCCAGGTACTGAAAAATTAAGCCACAATTTTTAATATGATTAGTCAATTGAAAAGTTTTTAAACAACAAGTTTAGTTATCAATTAAGGTATCTTATAAAACTATTTTCCGAAAATGACTATAAAAAATATCAGAATTTAACTTTTACAACAAAATAAATTCTAAATTTTAAATTTTATTAATTTTAATTTTAATCTTTTAATTTATTTTTAATCTAAATCATTAACTTATTTTAGTTAATTAAAAAATATTTTAGTCATTAAATTTAATATAGATGTATATAAAATGTTTAAAATATATTACTTTTTCTATCAATTTTATTTAATAGAAATAGATAGAAGATTTAAATTGAAAAAAAAAATACTAAAAAATTAAGATTTAAATTGATAAATTAAAAATTCATAATTTACTTTGTTAAAAAATCAAGTCCTAATTTATTTATTTATTTTGTGATTTCCCAACTATTTTTCATCAATATTTGTTTGGGAATAAGGGTTGAGACTAAAATAATCAATAAAGACAAAAAATAAAAAATTTAAATAGTCAATAAGATAAAATGTCACATCTTATGCATCAATTACTCATTTTTTCTCTCATAACCATTTATTCATCCACAAAAAAGAATTCACAAATCATCTTAAATATAACTTTTTTTTTGAATTTTTTAAAAAACATTTTGAAAAAAATTTAGTTATAAGTTTCAAAAAGAATTTTAAATTGTAGGTTTAGTTATGTATTTTGAAAATAATTTTTGAATTAAACTTTGAATTTGAGTTATATGTTTAGTTATGAATGTTGAATTTTTTTTTTTTTGGTTAGAATTACAATTCCAAAAGAGAATCAAATGCACCCTACATTTCATTCAATTAAAACATAAAATCACGATATTATCTGTAAAAACATTTAGGCTTGGTTTGGGAAGTAGGTTGGCTTTTTGACTTTTTGACTTTTTTGGCTATTTTAGCCTGGGCTAAAAAGCTTGGTTTGGGAAGGACTTTTTGACTTTTTGACTTTTTGACTTTTTTTGTGAGAGAAGAATGTAATGATTATAGATTGGATGTGATGTTTTGTTTGTTATGGCTAAAATAGCCTATTTTGTTTTTTGTGGCTAAAATAGCCAAAAAAGCCTGAAAACCATCTTGCCAAACAGAGGCTAATTAGTGTGTGTCGATTGAGTTTCTGAATTAAATTTTTAAAAAATTTAATTTTTTGGTTTTGTATTTTTTGTTTTTAGTGAATGTTTTTTAAAATTTTAAACATTTTTTTTTTTACTTTTTTAGATGCACTTTACTTAAATGTATCTAAAAAGTAAAAAAAAAAAATGAAAAAAACATTTTAAAAAATACAAAAAAATATATTGAATTCTTGTATTTATTTATTTATTTTTGTATGTAGTGAATTTTTTTTTAAAAAAAAAATTAAAATATTTTTACTTTTTAAGTGTATTTATGTTAAGTGTGTCTAAAAAATAAAAAAAAATACTTAAAATATTAAAAAAAATTAATTAAAAAAAATAATAGTTTTTAAAAAGTATTTTTGAAAAAATAAAACCAACTGATTATAATTCAAAAAATTTCATGTAATAACATTTACAGGTACTGCTACAGCCAACAAGATCCAACCTTCGACCCTTCACTATCAAAAACATACAAGAACATCACCTGTAACTCCGCACAGTGCTCAGCACTCGGCTCCGCCACCAGTGCGTCGCCCGGTTGTGCAACCACCACCTGTGTTTACGGCATCCAGTACGGCGATTCCTCCTACTCCGTCGGTTTCTTCGGATCCGAAACTCTCACACTAACACCCTCCGATATTTTCCCCAATTTCCTCTTCGGCTGCGGCCAGAACAACCGCGGCCTCTTCGGCGCCTCTGCCGGACTCATCGGACTCGGCCGGGATTCATTATCAATCGTCTCTCAAACCGCTTCCAAATACGGCAAATTCTTCTCCTACTGCCTTCCATCACGGTCGAGCTCCGATGGATACCTAGCGTTCGGAAAAGAAGGAACCTCCGGTGCTCTGAAATTCACGCCATTGTTGTCCAATTCGCAAAATCCTTCGTTCTACTTCATCGACATAACCGGAATCAAAGTCGGTGGAACGACATTATCGATCTCGCAATCGGTGTTCAAGACCGCCGGAGCTATAATCGATTCCGGCACCGTCATCACTCGCCTTCCTCCGGCGGCGTACACGCCTCTCCGGACGGCTTTCCGGCAACAGATGAAGCAATATCCGATGGCTCAAGCTCTGTCGATTCTCGATACTTGCTACGATCTGAGCAAGTACAGTACGGTGTCGATTCCGAAGATCAGCTTCTTGTTCGGCGGCAACGTCGAGGTTCCTCTCGCCGCGAATGGGATACTTTACGCCGGAAGTGCGTCGCAGGTCTGCTTGGCGTTCGCCGGAAACAGCGCCGCCTCCGATGTGGGCATTTTCGGGAATGTACAGCAGCAGACTTTGAATGTGGTGTATGATGTTGCAGGAGGGAAGCTAGGGTTTGCCTCTGCAGGGTGTTCTTAATCTGACCTAATAAACCAAAAAATAAAAAACAAAGTGAAAAAAAATATTTGAAAAAATATTTACAATTTAAATTGATGGTGAAGATTGTTAATAAATCGTACCCATACATTTTAAATTTTAAATATTTTTTTGATAATTTTTTTTTTTTAAAATGCAAAACATTACTAAATTGAATATAGGGTTGAAAGGGCCTTTTATATGGACTGACAAAAAGCAGTCAAATGTGTATGTGTGGTAGCAAAATAAGGTTTGCTGGGCAATATATGTAGTAATGTAATTGCTTGTTTATAATTTTGATAATGGATGGTTTTTAATTAAAAACAAGAAAATAAACACAACTAATCTCATCATCAAGAATCATATTTTTTAAGAATAAACATGATGTTTGAATTTTGAAGCGTTCGATTTAACTAAATATTATATATGAAAAAATGATAAAATTTTAGATAAATTATGTGACATTCTTTGTGGTAATTACAAAAATTTCTTCCGTTAATTTTAAAATTATACTATTTTTTATATGTTTGGTAAATTTTAACAAGTGTTCCTTTACATTATTTAATATTGGGATTAGAATAAAAAGAGTTCTGAAAATGGTGAAAATTTTTAAAAAATAAGGCTCCGTTTGGAAAGTCTCTCAAAATATGGTTCCACCCGTTGATTTGAGTGTGTTGTTTGTTTGGATCTTTCAAATCATAATTCTACACCCATTTCTCAAAACTCAATTTAAAACAGAATTGTAACTTTTCAAAACTCATAACCAAGCACATAATTCAAAACTTTTTTCAAAACTTAATTCAAATCAGTATTTTAATTTTTCAAAAATTTTAAATATTTAAATATTTTAAATATATTTTAATTTTGTTAAGATTTTAAATATTTTAATATTTAAATATGTTATGCATTTTTTAATTTTTTTGAATATTTTTAAATATTTTAATTTCAAAATATTACGATTCTCATTTTTTAAATTTTAAAATATTTTATTAAAATAAATTCAAACTCTATTTTATAAAAATATTTTTAAATATTTTAATTTTTTTGTTATGTATTTGGTTACGATTTGGAAGAATATGTTTGGAAACTTGTAAGTGAAAAATAAAAGGGTAAATTACACTAAAACTAGGGCAACTGTTTGAATCTATTATCACATAGCCATGAGGTGCTTAACGAACTTTTTTAATCTTTTAAAATTTCTCTTTTTGGTTTAATATATATTACCTTGACGTTTAAAAAATTACATTTCCACTACTGTGATTAATAATCTCAGCTCACAACTCCCTACTTATATAAAAAGTAACAATTCCTATAAAAAAAATAGAGAAAAATTAAATTGAAAAAAAAAATAAAGCAAAGTAAAAAAAGAAAAAGAAAAAAGAAGTACAGCAGAATAAGAAAAGAGAGAGTGTATGAATTCAATGTCTTTTTGATACCAACGTTAATTCTGCTAAATAATTATAATGACAGAAAGGTCAGTATAATTTTTCAAACGTCAGGAATGATATGTATTAAATTCAAACCTCAAGGGGTGTAAGTGTAATTCATCCAAAATAAAATAATGGGAAATAACTGAAATAGAAAGTGATTTTTATAAGTTTTCTCTCTATTTTATCTCTTTTTTCTTTTTTCTTTTTTTTTTCTCTATAAATCTCCTCTCAATTTCTACCAATCTCTTCTCAAACTCTTTATCTAAGTCAGTTAGATAGATAGGATTAGTAATTGGGACAAAAAAAAAATCTAAAAACACACAAATCAATTATAAAATCTAACACAATCCATTCTAACTGTTTGTACTTTTGTGATTGATTTTTGTATGTGGATAATAATTGACTAGCTACTCCATTAAGAACCAGGCTTAATTGAAAAAACATAAAACAAAAATGGTTCTGTTCGAACTGCTATTTCCATTGCAACGATCTTATATGGGCCTGACTCTTTTCATGACGTATTACAACACTGTAATGAGCATAGTATTCAGCTAGCCTAATTTTCATAGCCCAAAACAAAATGAAGCCCACCTACTTATATTCTCAACAATAAGCCCTGTAGAGAGAGAGAGAGAGAATTTGACCTGAACTATCAAATCTAAACCATGCGTTGGTTGATGAATTTAGGTAGAAATTTTAAAAAAAATTATATGAAATGTAATTATATTTCACTTTTTTTTTTCTTTTTACCTTTTCAAATTTTTACTTAAATTTATAAACTAAAGAGAGCTTTAGGGTCCATTTGAATTAGCGTAAAGCATGTGTTATGCACGACAAAGTAATAAAAAGTATTAAACATATTAAAAATTAATTAAATATTATGATATTAATTTATATGGGTATTTAAATAATATATTTGAGTAAATTTCATTATGTTTATGTAGATATGCAGAACTAATTCAATTTATTATTTTTTCAATACACTCAATCAGATAAACTCAATTTAAAAGGAAAAGTAAAACTGAAATTCTATAAATATAAAATAAAGATAAAAAAAATTAAATTTAAATTTGAAGATGTTTATAAGATTATAGAAAAAGAAGATTAGATAAACTCTCAAAAAAGAATAAACTCAATTGAAAATTAAAAGCAATAGTGGATTCTGTAAATATAAGACAAAGATAAAAATTAAAAAAAAATAAAGTTTAAATTTGAAGATAAACTATAAGAGTATAGAAAGATAAAATTAAATAAATCTTAGAAAAATGAGGTAGAGAGAAATTTAGTAAACATCAAATGAATATTGAAAAAAAATCAAGTTGAAATTTAAAATTTTAAAAATAAAATAAAATAAACCTGAAAAAATATAATATAACTCTAATAATAGAAGAACAAAAGAAGGTAGTAGTTTAAAATTCGATAAAAGAGTGAAATGTCACCTATAATTTTTTAAAATTTGTAAAAAAAAAATTAAAAATAAGAACTAAGGTGTAGTAAGTTAAAAATAAGATGAGTTAAATTCCATCTATAATTTATTAAAATTTAAATTTCGTGCATTAAAAAAATAAGTATTTATAATATTTTATTATACAAATTTTTACTTTATTTTGTGTCTGCTACTTATATTTTTTAACAATCTTTGTATTCTAAAGCTACTTAATTAAAAAAAAAAAAAAAATCATGGGGTCACCTTTTTATTTCTTAATTTTGTTTTGTGTCAATAACCTATAAATTTTAAGAATTTTTGTATTCTGAAACTATTAAATAAAAAAAAAATAGTATCACTTTTATTTTTAACGTCTTAGCTTTATTTTTACTTTGTGTTATATGATAATATAACCATTCATTTTAATTTTGTTTTGTGTCAATAACCTATAAATTCCAGCAACTCTTGCATCTTGAAATTACTAAATAATAGAAAAAATAATATCACTTTTCATTTTAAAATCTTAATTAGTTTTATTTTTACTTTGTGTTATATGATAATATAATCATTTATATTAAATAATAAGGTCATAACCATAGAACGCGCATTACTTGAATGTTTCTTTGGCAATGACACGTGTTATGCATGTGAATATAAAATTCGACAATCATAGAAAAAAATTTCTTACCCATGATTTTTGTCCAAATACTTAAAATATATTTAGTTAAATTAGGTTTTAAAATTTTGATTATAAATATGTAATGTGTTTATAATTTAAATGCAGCATAATTGAATAACAATTTTGTTTATACAAAATTAATCAAATTTTTATTGACGTATTCACATATTGAATTTAATCTGTTTTAAAAATTAGATGACATTAAATAACGTAATTGAAATTTAACTATTAAATAATAATTAAGTAAAAAATATGTATCTTTAGTTTTTGTTTTTCAAATGGGTCCAAAAGTGTATAATTGATTTTCGTTGTATATATAATGACTATTACAAGTTGAAAACAAAGTAATTTATTTGTATATTTTTTATTAAGGAAATTGAGATCCATTCACTTGAAATGTTCCTTTGTGTAGAGAAGTTTTTATGCAAAAGAGAAACTTATCATTTAAAAATCTACTTAATTTGTGTACTAACTACATATATGTAAAGAAACAAATTTTAACCCACGAAGATCTCTAATAAAAATATAAAAATATATGCAAAAATGTTATAAAGTTACATAATTAAGTTTTGTTATATTTGGATTTAAATCGAGCGTCCTCCTTATATATTAAAACAAAATAGAACACATAAATTAATATAATTAAAGAAAAATTATAATGAAAAATAAATAAAATTGAGCAAAAATTTCTTTCAAACTCGTGAATGAATTCCAAATACTCTTCTCGATTGGTAAATTTTTTCTAAAAAAAAAAAATGTTTGCATCGCACAATATCACTCTTTGTGTTGATTTTTTAACCTGCGTTGCTACTGTTACTTTCTTCATGTATGTTGTAATTGTAAAAAAGATTTAAAAAAATAAACAATAGATTTTGGAGGCACAATCACATCTACTATATTATTATATCAGCAACTAAACTACCAAAATAAATAAATAACTAATAAAACTAAAACAAAGAAAAATATTTGAGAAAGAAAAAAAAGAGCAAAAAAACACAATATGAGATTTCAAATATGTGTTTCTTTTCTTTTCATATAAGTTGTTAAAAATCTTACATAATTGGTCAAATCACCTATTTAATTCCTGATTCTTTCTCTTCTCCAATCTTTTTGTCCAATTTCATACTATCAATAAGATTGGGTTTTGAGATTTATAAGTTAATTTTTTGTGAAATATCTTTAGCTAAGATATAAATCTAAGAAAAGAATTTGAATTAGAGTTCAACTGATCTTTTATTTTTAAAATATTTTGAAAATCTCTTATCAATTTTGAATTTAAATTTTGAAATGAATTAGTATACTTTTCATTTAAAAGTCACAAATTAAGAGATATGAGATTTTTTGATAAATCCATTTTCTAAGAGCTTTATTCCATCCAACCCATATTCTTTTTGAGTATTCCATTAGGTCCAATTTGAGATAAGAAGACCAAAATACCCTTTTCATCTACTTATATTCCATTTAGTTCACATTATTTTCTTATATTTCAATAAGTTCTATGGGTGACATAATTACCAAAATACCCTTAATGTGAATGTTCACACTGTCAATATAAATGTTTATATCGTCAATGTGTAGAGGCCCGGCTCATGTCGATCCTCGTGGGTGCCCGGAAAAATTCGTGTCGGGCCGGGCCGACCCACAAGCCAAAAAAATAGGCCCGACCCGGCCCGTTGATAATATGAATATTCACATTGACAAGTTAACATTCACATTGATAGGAGTGTAAAATTGGCCTGCTGCCCGAAACCAGCCCGTCACCCAAGGCCGGCCCGGGCCGGCCCATTCACAATATGAATAT